GGCCGCCGTCGCCTGCGGAGAGAGCAACAGGGCCGAGATGCGGCACCTCCCACAGAAAATTAGGGGTCCCCCCAGGGAAAAAACGGGGGTCTCCACACCCCAAGGGCCTTCCCGCCCCACGCGCGGCCACGGCTCCGACCCAACCCAGCCCAGGTCCTCAAGGACGGACCCAACCCGGGGGCCGGAGCAGAGACCGGGAGAAAGTCAAGGTTACCTGGCGGAACCGCGGTCTCCCGGCTGCTCTGCCGGGCGTCCCGGGACGGAGCCGTCGGCTGGTCGACCTCCTCCTTGCCGTGGGCCTTCTTGTGGGCGTTACAGCGGAAATTTTGGGTGAAGCCCTTCCCGCAGATGGGACACTTGAAGGGCTTCTCGCCCGTATGGACCGTCTTGTGCCTGACCAGGTCGGAACTCTTCCGGAAGCTCTTCCCGCAATCCCGGCACCCGTAGGGCCTCTCGCCCGTGTGGACCCGGCGATGCATGAGGAGGTATTGCTGCCGGGCGAAGCTCTTCCCGCAGTCGGGGCAGACGTAGGGTTTCTCGTCGGTGTGGACCGCTTGGTGGGAAATGAGGTGGGAGCTTTGGCTGAAGCTCTTCCCGCAAACCAAGCACTTGTAGGGCTTCTCGCCCCGGTGCAGCATCTCGTGGATGAGCAACGGGGAGCCGTCGTTGAAGCCCTTCCCGCAGACCGAGCACTTGTAGGGCCTCTCGCCCGTGTGGAGGCGCCGGTGGCGGACGAGGTGGTTCCTCCAGTTGAAAACCCGGCCGCACTCCTCGCACTTGTGGGGCTTCCGCTTGGCTTTGGCTTTCGCTTGGGGCTCGCTTTCGCTCCGCTCATCCCGATTCCCGCCGCCGGTGCTTTCTCCCCATTCCTCCCCAATTCCGCCGCCTTCCCGCCTCCAGTTCTCGCAGCCTTCGTCCCGCGTCGCCTCCTCATCCTCTCCATCGCCTCGCTCCGCCTTCACCCGGACGCTCTCGGGGTTCTCCTTGCTCGCCCACCCCATACCTGCGGGGACAACGGCGGTCACCGATGTGGCC